CTCAAAAACTCTGCTTGAAGGGCAGATAGATTTCAAAAGCTAATGTCTTTAATGCACATCAACTCACCACACGTTCAGAGCGAACGCGTTTCAATTTTTTTAGATCGCTGGATCACTCTCAGTGAATCTTGCTCCAATTAGGATGCATCAAAATGTGCAGAAAGAACTATTACAGGATCTTCTAGCTTATCCCTTGTCCCAGGTGTTCCATAAAAAAACCTAGTGCAACCTTTCGCGCTTTCTTTTTGTGCGAGCCTCCAAATTCGATAGAAAACCGAGTCCAGGAGGTAGTCAATGGCTTGAAGATGACCCCGTGAAGATCCAATAGAAGAGAAGAGAAGCGTATTTTTTCATGTTTATAGTTGAAACTTACGTTGCCTAACTTATCTGGAAGTACAAAAAAACATACAAAGCGGTAACAATGGTTTTTGATTTGAAATGTTATTACATTGGTATAAATATGGGAAGGAAATACTCCGATTTATTGTTTTAATATTACCAAAGTGGTAAGGCCGTTGATAATACTCACAATTTAGGGAACTTCAAAAAATTGTATTATCCGTCAAAAGTTGTTTATTGAAACTACCTTCTTGTTTGTATCATGAGTAGAGTCGAGTATTTTCGAGCAATACTTTGAGTGGTATCGAGTATTCTCTTCGTTTCGGTTAATGAGTCCAAGCATCGCATACAAGGTGGTATCGGACAAACACTACTGACACAGAAGAGCCTGTAATGCGGCAGAAGTCCGTTGTATAAACCTCGTTATATCAGAAAAGCTTTGATTTTATTGTACAGTATTATTAGAGATATTGTCGTTTTATAATGGCCATACTTCTTATGCGACCAACAACACCAAATATACATAAAAGATAAAAGCAAATATTTTAAAATCTATATATGTAATTTGTAAACTGATATCTGCTGCCATCATATTTTCACTAATTACACATCTATATGTATACATACATATATATGTATTTTCATACATGAACACTTTTCCCATATTTTCAGCCATGGCGATATGTGATATGCTGACGGTGATATTTCCGGCGCCAGGACTTTGGTATATGTACACATTCGGTAATCACTACAAGCCGCTGCATCCGGTGTCAATGTGTTTGGCGTATTCTATATTTAATGAGGTGAGTAAACTACAAAGAAAAAGTGTCAACAAAGTGCTATTAATATGAGTTTTATATTTTGTAATTATCGCCTACATGACTTTCGTATATGTACATACATTGTGCGCATTTAATTGCATTAATCTACATATATGTATACTTATTTCTAGAAGGTATTTTCCTATTACCAAACGATATCTCCTTTAATATTTTATCAAATTTAATGAATGATATCCCATTTTGAAGTAGAGAAGCTCATGCTCGTACATGTGAAAAATACTCACGTTGTTCACATTTAAGTATTTATAAAAAAAATTGGGTTTTAAAAAGCTGAAAGCACTGCACCCGGTCGATAAAGCGCCAAACCTTCACTGCTTGTGGTAAAAATATAAACTTTTTGATAGGGTTGCCACTCGCTTAAATATTTTTGGGACTTAAATATATACTGATTAAAATATTACAACGCATTCAGGGTATGAAAGTTAAATGCCTTAATTAATTAAATTAAATTAACCCTAAGTAATAATTTTGAAGAGCATTGTAAACTTTTTAAAAATGTATATCTATATCTCTATATATGTGAAACTAAGTTATGTAAACCGTATGACCACATAACTCAAGAACGGATTGCCCGATTTAAGTAGACCCGAGGAGAAATGTTACGGAGAGAACACCCCGATAGGTGGCGCTGGGATCGACTTATTACTAAAAATCGTATTTATCGTCCGATTTCGGTCATATTTTATATATATATTGGTAATAGAAAGGAAAACTCTTGGCGAAAAATTTTTCAGCTAGGGAGCGCTGAAGTCGGGTTATCTATACTAATATACATATATTTTGAAAGCCGTTTTTTCTGTTCGCAAAGCTCGAGAACGACTTTACCGATTTTTTTTTTAATTTCGCACACCTACTGCAGAATTTATAAGGGCTAAAAAAACTCGAACATGGTATCGATATTTATGAAAGCAATGACATAAATACTCATGCAGAGAAGTGGGACTGTTTGAAACTGGGGCGTTGAGTGTGTTTGAGTGGTTCTCTGGATAGTTTCAGCTCACAATTTGACCCGCCAGGTGTAGCTGAAGTCGAGTTATTACTAAAAATTGTATGCATGATCCGATTTGGCTTATATTCGGGATATGCATTGGTAATGGTAAACGCAATACTTTTACAAAAAGGAGCCGCCAGGTGGCTCTGGAGTCGAGTTATTACTAAAAAACGTCCAATGAGATGAATTGTCGTGAATATCCGATTACGTCGACCTGCTGCACCACTGAGCTTGTCTAACTGCCGCCTGTTTTCCGACTGGCCCAATAGATATGATTTACCAATATTACTCTGCGTTAAAGCTTCATTCGGAGACACCAGGATTGAGTTGTCTAGGGGTCAATCTGAAATGGCCTCCGTTAAATCAACCACCAGAACTGTTGCGCTCCTTGATAAGGCATTTAAGATAGTTCGTCTGAAATAAGTCTATGTATATTGGATTTCTGTGGAGCAACGATGCTCAGCCATTCTGAATTTGCCACCAACTATACTATACAGTTTCGAAGAGAGATTCACCATCGAACCGGACGATTGTTGTCGCCAGAGAGTGAGGAGAAAAAAAATCTTCAAATTTATTTCGCTGTACGATTAACCGTGATGTGAAGGGCCACATCATTGGGGCAGATTCAAAGAACTTCTTCGCGGACATTAAACTTTCGTTGGGTTATTTAAGATGGGAGTCTTGGAAGTATGCCCTGCGACCACCAAACCATAATATTATCATATAAATCGTGACCGTGAATTGTTGATGAAAATCTTTGACCAAAATGTTCCAATAAAATAATTAATTTTGAGCGGGTCGAAGTTCGCCGGGTCTGCTAGTGTACATACATACATAAAATTCTCTCGGCAGCTTACTTTTCGCCAATCAGTTTTATTTAGCACTTATCACGCTTTTGCACACCTCCTACTCCATTCTAACATATGTGTATGTACAAACGAATGTGCAACTTATCAATGGAACAGTGAACTTTATAATAGGGGTATTCTCTGAGTCTTGCAAAGGCCTTGCATGGTGCACATATTGCACGGATTGCACGGTAAAAACCGGTTTTCGTATGGGACAGCTTTGCAAACCGTGCAATCTGTGCACCGTGCAAGGGCTTTGCAAGACTCAGAGAATACCCCTAATATATTTAAATGCATGTACATATGTGATTGTACGCAAGTGACATTTTCGAGTGTTGTGCGTAATTAAATGAGAAATTAATTAAATGTGTTTACAGAAGTGTGTTGTAAGCGTTGGAGTCGTGGCTGCTCTTGTACATATTTAATTGCTTTGCACAGCTATATTTAAAAAATATTTAATTTAAAGTGCACCTACAGAGTATACCATAACTTGAGCGTTAAGTGTTTAATGAAGTACTTCTATTAATAGCGGGCTAAGGCAAGTTAGCTCTGAGCTTTTATATTTTTCTTTTTTTTAGGAATGAGCTTCTGCTTGTCGCATATACCTATTAGCCTTCGGTATAGGATGCTGATAGATTAAAATATGGCACTAATTTAGTAAAAACCAATCAGTTTAATGCCATTAAGTACAGGAATGAGAAAAAATGAATCGTATCGGCTTCTGTAATGACAGTTTCAATGGCAACGCTTGCCGATACATTGCCTAGAATCTCTCGAACTTTAATATTCTATTTCAATTATGCGTGGGTAGGTGCGTGTTGCCGTTGACCATTTTCTAAAATACATCTGTC